GACAAAACACCTTACAAAAACAGCTACGGGGGGGGGGGGGGGGAGTATTTTAGTTCACAGTGGGAAGCAACAGTCTATCAGGATGAGGAAGCCATGGCAGGGTGGTGAAAGCACTCATACGGTGTCCACAGCCAGGAAGCAGAGAGCAGTGGTCACTGGGGCTCAGCTCACACTCTCCTATTATACAGTCTAGGTCCCCAGCCCAGGGGGCGGTGCTGCCCACATTCAGCTTCTGCCTTTTCACTTCAGTAAACTCAGTGTAGACACTCCTTCACAGACGCACCCTGTCTGGTTGACAGTCACTATCAGCCATCACAGATGGGATGGTGGACAGGATCTGAGTGCTGCGGGAAAACTTTCAGAGTGGCAGGTAGAGGTACATAGATAGTGTACCCCAGGGTTCCGGCAGAGGGGCAGACCCACAGGGAGAAAGACAGGCTGTCCTGAAGCCCTGTGGTGGCAGCAATCCAGATGGATCCATCTCTGAGAGCAAGAGGCTCAAGTACCCAGGGGCAGTTCCAGGTTCCTCTGTGGAATGGTTGGCCTCTGATCAGCTGCTGCCTCAGAAGCTTAAAAAGGCCCTGGGTGACAGGGAAGTCAGAGTGCTTGGGAGAGGGCCAACTATTCATGACCTCACCGCCAATCTGTACTGTATTTTCCTTCTGTTATTCACCCCATTTCTTGGCATTAGATTTTATGTTATGCTTCCTATGGGCCATGCTCTCTCTAACTTGTTTTTTGTTTGTTTGTTTGTTTGTTTGTTGTTATTTTTGCTCCCTTCATTTCAGCCTTAAGATCCTTGCCCGCTTAATGACAGCTAAATTCTTGCATACAGAAATTAGAGAAAAGGGAGGTGCTTACGGTGGAGGTGCTAAGCTCAGCCACAGCGGGATTTTCACGCTCTACTCTTACAGGTGAGTGTCTGGGTTACCGTGTTTCCCATGTGACAGCACCCACATTCCAGCCACTGGCTGTGCTCACTCACAATGCTGTCATTCTCTGTGAATGTTAGTACAAACAAAGGTTACATCTGCCGTTCCCATCTAGAGCAACTAGCCAGACCAGCCTCTATCTTTCTTGTTGCAAGGATCAGGCACAGTAGTGTAAGGGCTGTGTTGTTGTATTGTCTACATTAGATAAAATTCTAGCTTCATAACCAGCCTGTTTTCATAGGGTGCAACCAGAGGGCTTTCTGAACTTAAAACTTCTGTGTGGGCACCTAATCAGGATATGGTTCTGTTGGGCTTTCAGAGGCATGAGACTGTTGCCATTTTCTACAAATGCTTAGTTTCTGAGCCACTACTGCCTGAAGTCTTGTACGCCAACAAGCTAAGAGCAAGGAGCCTCACCACTGCTGTCATTCTTCCTGTCCAGACTGTACCATGGGACTGCTCTTTAAACAGGGAGGGTCCCACTGACAAATCTGTTCCTTGATGGTGAACCTAAAGCACTAAGAGGAGCTTCGTCTTAGACATAAGAGAGGACTCCAGAAACCACCCCACCTCCAGTGAACTTCTAGATGATTCTGTGTCTGTCATAGGGAAGAAAGGGCTAGTTTAATGTGTATCTTTTCCATGGCTCTTCTGTAACGTCTTTATTCCTGACACCCCTCTGTCCATGTGACTTCCTCTCCAGTTGGAGTCAGGCTAGCAGTGAGGTCAGCAAGTGAACTGTGGTGTTACAGAGGGAGTGTGTTGTGAGGGCTGCTGCTTCCATCAGATTTACATTGCTCTGTCAGTGGGTTGTGTTGAGTGTAGATGATCAGGAAAAAAAAAAGAACTGTTAAATCAACATGATTACCATAGACTGTTTCCCCCTGTGATAAATTTT